ACTCGGACACAGCTTCCCACGCCTGGATCAATTACGTCTGGCTGACCGGTAAGTCCAGAGGGAAGGAGATCAAGCCCATGGACCTCACCAAAGCGGAGAGACTCTTGTTCGACGCGAGCATGGCTAAGGAGTGGGAGAATTGGCGCAACTTCAGGGCGGTGACCGTAGTCACAGGCGACATGGCCAAGGGGCTGCTGGGCAGGGTCAAGGCGATACCATCGAGATGGGTTCACACGAATAAGAACGAGTACGACCCGAAGCTACACCTGAAGGCGAAGTCTCGACTGGTCGCGGTCGGCTACTACGAGTCAGTCCATATGAGGACGGACTCCCCTACTTCGTCCCTGCTGGTGTTCCACGTGATCTGCAGCACGGTGGCCAGGAAGCACTGGCCCCTCTTCAAGCTCGACGCTACGAGTGCGGATGAGGACGGCAAGCTCGTCGGGCTCGTCGGAACCTACGTGGACGACCTGTTCGCCACTGGAGACCCCGATAGCGACCTGTACAAGAATACGATGGACGAGCTCAAGAGAAGCCCCCCTTCAGGTACTGCGGCAAGGACGTCGAGCAGCTCGAGGATTGCACGATCAAAAACAGTATGGTGCACTTCATTGACCAGATGGAGACCATCGTGATGTCCCCGGCCAGAGCGAAGCAGATCAAGGCGTTGGCTACGGATGAGGAGCGGAGTTTCGCAAAGTCGGTGATCGGCTCACTCGGATGGCTTTCCAGGCAACTTCGCATGGACGTCTCTTTCGGCTACAGCTGGCTTGCGCAGCAGAAGAATTAAGAGACCGTGCAGCACCTACTGGAGATGAACAAGCTGGTTCGCTACTGCCAGGAGACGCGCGAGGTGTGCCCGTGCTTCCGGAGCGACACTCTACGGCAAGATGGAGACCTACGTGCTGTCGTCTTAGCCGGCAGCAGCCTCAACAACGTGGACGATCACGACCTTGGCCCGCTTGGCGAGAAGGTGAAGTCTCAGCTCGGCTTCGTGTGCCTGTTCACCGACGACGGCCTCTACACCCAACAAGAAGGACCAGTACATTTCCTCGACTGGGGCATCTCGAGGATCAAGAGGGTTTGTAGGGCCTCGATGGGAGCAGAGGCTCACGGACTGACGGAAGAAGCTGAAGCGCTGGAGTGGATCAGGGCGGTCTACTACGAAATGCAGAAGCCAGATCAGCCATTGGGCGACATGGTGGACGACGCGGCGGCCATGATACCAGCTAGTTCGACGGTGCCAACAGCCTGGTGTCCCACCTCCTCGCGGACGCTGGCTAGATCGCAGATCGTCGGGTACGAGTGGTCATCGCAGCTCTGCGGGAGATGCTATCGCAGGATGGAGTTGACCTGGAGTGGTGCGACATATCAGTTCAGCTAGCAGATGCGTTTGGAAAATGAGCGAGGCTACCTGACGACAGCAATGATGGCCGGCTACGTGAGTGTGAAGGTCTCCGCTGTTGGCAGCCTCCCCGAAGGAGGCAGTGAGGATGGCACGCCACCAGCGTGCAAATGAGCGTCGAGCCCGCGACGCCCAGAGCAGAACCACCGCTAGGGTGGAGCACAGCGCACGGCACGGCCAATCGTCTTCATATTTCTAGGGCTTCCGCCCATCTTCCGCGGCGCTTCCGCGCCACTTCGTGTGACTTGGCTCCGGACGTCGGTTTGACGATCGGCCGGGTGTTGAAATGCCCCAGCGATCATCCCCCCATTTAGCCTGCCCGCTCGCACCCGCTCAGACAGAACGTTTCGGTTCACAGAGCTCTTGAGTTTACGGTTGCGGAAAACCTGAAAGCTTCCGGCGGGCGGCGACCCGCCACTTGAGAGGGGGAGCTCTCGCCTCCCCCCCTCTCGTTGCCTCTCAACCCTCCCACTTCCTCTAATGCCCTCCGCCCCCCCGCCCCCTTCCCCTCCACCCCCTCGCCTCCTCATCCCTTCCCCCTTTCGCCTGCGCGATCGACTCTGGAGCCATCAACGTACAGCGTACAGGATGAGGATGAGGAGGGTGGACGAGGAAAGAAGGCGAAGGAGGAAGGAGGGAGGAGAAAGAGGAGGAGGAGGAGGAGGAGGAGGAGGAACAGGAGGAGGAACAGGAGGAGGAGGAGGAGAAGGAGCAGGGGGAAGGGGAAGGGGAAGGGGAGGATGGATGAGGGAGGGAGCAGAGCACCCACCCCTCCACGACCCGCGCGCGCGCACCTCTGCACCGCGAGGTCGGCCTCCCCCATGCGCTGCCACTGCGCGCCTAGCCGCAGGAGCGCGTCCGAGAACCTGCACGCCAGACGGCGCCGCCACCGCTGTTGGCGCGGCCACAACCGCCACCGCCACCAGCACCAACGCCGCCGCTGTTGGCGTCGGCGTCGTGGTCGACGGCGCCGTGCTCGCCGCTGTCGCCGCCGTCGCCTTCGCCGAAGTCGTCGTCGTCGTCGTCGTCGTCGTCGCCGTCGTCCATGTTGTCGTCGTCCTCTTCCTCCTCCTCCTCCTCCTGGAACTTAGAACCTCGTGGCAAGAAATGTATCCTGACCAATGCCTCCCCTTCCTCCTCCTCCTCCTCCTCCTCCTCCTCCTCCTCCTCTTTCTCCTCCTCCTCCTCCTTCCCTCCCTCCCTCCCTCCCTCCCTCCCTCCTCCTAGGTTTCGTCGTCGTCGGCATTGGCGGCGTCGTCTTGGGGGTAAGGGAAAGGGGACGGGGGGAGGAAGGGAGAGGCGGGAAGAGAGGGGGAGGGGGAGGGGAGGGAGGAAGGGAGGGGGATGAAAGGAGGGAGAGGGGAGGGGCGTGAGGTGGAAAGGGAAAGGAAGGAGGTTGGTTGGCGTCTGGGGAGGCGAGTTCTGGCGGACCTGTGGGCACAATCGGAGGTGAGGGGGTGAGATCGAAGTGGAACGGAGAGCCCCCCTAACCGAGAAATCGATTTCGGTTTCGTGTTCGTGCGTGCCGTGCGTGCGGGCGAGGCGAAGCTGCGTGGGCGGGCGAGAAGAAAGTCTCCTGTGGCTGAGGCGCGGCCGGACCAAATGTCTCCCTTCCGGGCGGCCGGTGGCCCGCGGTGTCCCGCCGGTGTCCCGCTGGTGTCCCGTGTGGCTGAGGCGCGGCCGGACCAAATGTCTCCCTTCCGGGCGGCCGGTGGCCCGCGGTGTCCCGCCGGTGTCCCGCGGTGTCCCGCGGTGTCCCGCGGTGTCCCGCGGTGTCCCGCTGGTGTCCCGCGGTGTCCCGCGATGATGATGATGATGATGATGATGATGATGCTGATGATGATGATGATGATGATGATGATGATGATGATGATGATGATGATGATGGGATGATGATGATGATGATGATGGTGATGGTGATGGTGATGGTGATGGTGATGGTGATGATGATGCTGCTGATGATGGTGATGCTGATGTTGATGCTGATGTTGATGCTGATGATGATGATGATGATGGGGATAATGATGATGCTGCTGATGATGATGAGGACGATGATGAGGACGATGATGATGATGATGATGATGATGATGATGATGCTGATGATGATGATCGAGTGAGATCGAGTGTGAGATAGATCGAGGGAGATCGATCGAGCGAGACCGATACTGAGATCGATAGTGAGATCGATAGTGAGACCGATCGAGTGAGACGTTGGTTCCTCCCCCCCCCGAACCTCCTTATCACCCGAAGGGTGGTCGTATAGGTAATTATCCTTTTGGGTCGCCCCAGGGGGGGCGCGCTCCGTCCCGTTGGGTCCCGACAGTCCTGGCGCGTGCTCCGCTTGCATTGGGAGTCCGAGGACATGGGCGCCTGGCGGAAGAGGGGAGGAGCGCCATGGGGCGGCGATAGAGAACCCCCAGCGCATCGAAAGCCCAGGACAGCACAGCCTGGGAGCAGCATCACTCCCGAAGGGCCATCCGTCCAGGAGTGACCCTGTCCCCCAGCCCAGCCACCAAGGAGCAGTCAACAGCTGAGCAGTGTGTCACCAGCCCGAAGCCTGGAACGGAGACCCCTTCCTGAGAAGTTCCTGGATGGAGGGGAGGGGAGGGGAGGGAGGGAGGGAGGGGATAGGGGGGGAAGGAGGGGGAGGAGGGGGAAAAGGAAAAGGGGGGGAGAGGCAGAGGCGGCGGGACGGGGGGGCCAGGGGCAAGCGTGGCAGCCGCCGGAGCGGGGACAGGGAGCGGCGGGCGGGTGCAGGGGCAGGGGCGGCAGCAGGTGCGGGCACAGCAGCAGCGGGGGCGGGAGCTGGAGGCAGAGCGACGAGACGGCGAAGGGCGAGGAAAGACGACAACGGCGACCCCGACGACCTGGGTTACTCAGCTTCGCGCGTCGCGCCCGGCGATGCCCGACACGCGGTCATCTTCGCGCCCCCCCGAGACCGCCCTGGGGAGAGAGGCAGCGCTCCAGCCCAGGCCGCGGCGCGCGAAGCACGATTCTCTTCGCGCCCCGGGGGGAAGACCTTGGACTCCGACGACCGACCACGACGACGACGCCGAGGAGCCAGTTGTGCTCCTCGCCGAGGACCATGTAGTCCTGCGTTGCCTCCGCGCGAGCGCGACGGCCACAAGAGCGAGGGCGGACGAGCTCCTCGCCGCCGCCGTCGTCGCCGGCTCCTCCGCCGCCTCGTCCTCCTCCACCGCCTCTTCCTCCTCCTCCTCCTCCTCATCCTCCTCCTCCTCCTCCTCTTCCTCCTCCTGCTCCTCCACTACTCCTACTTCTTCTCCTCCTCCTTCTCCTCATCATCATCACCACCACCACCATCACTACATCATCCCCACTACCACCACCATCATTCATCATCATCATCATCATCATCATCATCATCATCATCATCATCATCATCATCATCATCATCACCATCACCATCCCCATCCCCATCACCATCAGCACCATCAGCACCATCAGCACCATCAGCACCATCATCAACAACAATATCAGCATCATCATCTTAATCATTATCACCATCACCATCACCATCACCATCACCATCACCATCACCATCATCATCATCGTCATCATCATCATCATCATCATCATCATAATCCTCGTCCTCATGCTCATCCTCATCCTAATCCTCCTCATCATCCTCCTTACCATCACCACACTCATCATCAGCACACCACCACCACCACCATCATCATCACCGTCATCATCATAATGATAAGCATAATAATCATCATCATCAGACTCAGCATCAGCATCAGCAGCAGCAGCATCATTATCATTATCGTCATAAGCATCATCATCATCAACATGATAATCATCAGCATCATCACAATCAACATAATCATCATCAGCATCATCACCAGTATCATCATCCTCATCCTCATCCTCCGCAACAGCATCATCATCATCGTCATCATCATCATTCTCATCAACATCATCAGCATCTTGATCATCATCATCGTCAACATCATCATCCATTATCAACATCATCATCATCATCACCAGCATCACCATCACCATCAGCATCAGCATCAGCATCATCATGATCATCACCATCACCATCACCATCACCATCACCATCATCATCAACAACATGATCAATCTCAGCATCATCATCATCATCATAATCAGCATCACCTCCACCATCATCTTCATCATCATCCTCATGCTAATCCTCATTCTCATCCTCATCATTCTCCTCACCATCATCACACTCATCATCTACACACCACCACCGACACTATCATCATCATAATCTTCGTCATCATCGTCATCATAATCATTAGCATAATAATGATCAGTCCATCATCAGAATCATCAGAATCATCATCAGCATCATAATCAATATCGCCATAATCATCGTCAGCATCATCATCATCATCATCACCATCGTCATCATCAGCATAACCATAACCATCATAATCATCATCATCATCAGTAGCAGCAGCATCATCATTATCATCCTCATCCTCCACATCATCATCATCATCATCATCATAATCATCCTCAGCATATTAATCATCATCATCATCATCGCATCACCCACTATCAACATCACCATCACCATCATCATCACCACCATCATCATCATCATCATCATCACCATCACCATCACCATCATCATCAACATCATCATCGGCACCGGCATCGGCGCTGGCATCAGCATAGTCATCATTTTCAGCAGCATCAGCATCACCATCACCATCAGCATCAGTATCACCATCTGCACCACCATCATCAGCAGCAGCATCATCAGCAGCATCAGCATGAGCATGAGCATGAGCATCAACAGCAGCATCATCAGCATCAGCATCAGAGGCATATAAGCAGCATCAGCATCAGCATCAGTATCAGCATCAACATCAACACCAACATCAACAACATCACCACCATCATCACCACCACCACCGTCATCATCATCATCATCAGCATCATCAGCAGCAGCATCATAATCATAATCATCATCATCACCCACCATCAACATCCTTCATCATCACCGCCACCACCACCACCACCACAACCATCATCATCATCATCATCACCACCATCACCATCATCAACACGACCACCAGCATCATCGTCCTCCACGTATGTTCTGGCTTCGGTGGTTCCCCCTCCCTCATTCCATTATGCTCCTCCTGCTCCTTCTGCTCCTGCTGCTGGTCTTCCTGCCCTCCGCCCGCCTGCCTGCCCTGCCTCCCTTCCCCTCCCTTCCATTCACTTCCTCCTTCCCGTTTTTCCTTCCCCTCCCTTCCCTCTCCTTCCCCTCCCTCCCTCCTTCCCTGCACCTCCTCCCCCCGTCTCCTCCTTCCCACCTTCACATCCTCCTTCTCCTCCTCCTTCTCCTCCTCCTGGGCGGGGCGCGCCTGGGCGAAGTTGGGCTGGTCCCCCAAACTCTCCGACACCCAAGCGCGGTTGAAGCGCATCGTCAGCCGCGCGATTTGCAGGTCCTGCAGCCCCGGGACTGGAGCTTGGGGGAGGACAAGGGAGGAGAGGGGGGGAAGGAGGTCCACTTCTGCGCTGCCAAGCTGCGCTTCAGCACTACTGCCGCACTTCACGCGGCTGTCCTCTCGCATTCGTCCTTTTGGGGGCTGTTTTGCGTCCGTCCCTGTCCCTGTCCCTGTAAGAGATCGACTAGTTGAGGAACGCAACAGCCTCGATGATAATGCATGGCCAACGTCAAACGGGAGGAGGACACGGATGAAGAGGATGAGCAGCACGGCGACCAAGAGTATGAACAGCAACTGGCGCTAAACGCTAAGGGATTGCGCTGGCATGAAGTTGCTGTGCGTCTGACCACTCGCGGCGCAACGGACGAGGAGGAGGAGAAGGCGGGGGCGGAGGATAACGAACGCTTGGCAGAAGAGAAGGGCGACGACGAGCACCACGACGACGACGACGACGAACACGAGCACCACGCCGCCGCCGCCGCCGCCGACCACGACGAAACCAACGGCGGCGGCGGCGGCGACGACGATGGAGCTGCGGCGGCCGCGGCCGCGGCCGCGGCGCCGCGCCCCGCGAGCCGCCTCGTCCCGCCCACCCGCCGGTCCTTCTTCTCCTCGCCGTTGGCCTTGCGCTCGGCGAGCCTGCCGGAAAGGGGCCGCGCGCGGGAGGAAGGCCTGTCGCGGGCAGGAGGAGGAGGAGGAGGAGGAGGAGGAGGAGGAGGAGGAGGAGGAGGGAAATGGGAAAAGAGAAAAAGAAGCAGGATGAGTATGATGATGATGCTGCTGATGATGATGATGAGGAGGAGGAAAAGGAGGAGGAGGAGGAGGAGAAAAAGGAGAAGGTTGAGGACAAGGCAGTGGGGGAGAAGGAGGAGGAGGAGGAGGAGGAGGAGGGTAAGCAAGATGAGGATCAGCAGGGGGGTGCGTCATGGATCCAGGACGTGCGCGGTGCACACCGCCCGCAAACGGGCCGCAATGGCAGGCAACGGGCACCCCCAGCCTCCCCCTAATGGGAGAGCCAAAAAGCGCGCGAACCGACGAAAACGGGACAGGCAGCTACCTCGTCGTTGCCCAGCGACCTGCCTCCAGCCGGATCACTGCGTCCCTGCGAAGTACTTCCCAAGTATCAACCCCAGCCCAATCAGCTGGCATGTTTGACTGGGTTCGTTTCCCAATTCGAGCGGACACAAAGCCACATCGGGACTTACGGGCCACATGGCCCCGCCTCTCAACCAAATGCGCAATCGCGCGCGCGTGGTACCCATCCCCAGGCCACGGAGCGTGGCTAGCGCCGCTGCCACGGGCAAAATGCCACGTGGCTGGTTCCAAATGGCGCGAGCCGGTTTAGCTGCTCCAGTCGCCGCATGCAGTCGACTCTGACGGCGTGCTCCGTGGAGCGCGTGGCTGGAGGAGGAGGAGGAGCAGCAGCAGCAGCAGCAGGAGGAGGAGGAAGAAGATATGGAGATGGAGGGGGAGGAGGAGGAAGAGGAGGAGGAGGAGGAGTCCCAGGAGGATATGGAATTAGAGGAGGAGGAGGAGGAGGAGGAGGAGGAGGAGGAGGAGGAGGAGGAGGAGGAGGAGGAGGAGGAGGCGGATGAGGAGGAAGAGGAGGAGGAAGAGGAGCCCGATACGCCTATCTGTCCAGGGGACCTTCGGGTTTCCTCTCCTCTCTCCGCCTCCGAAACACGGGCGGATCGGGCGCGGCTGGGCCCGGTTGGGCCCACGCCCCTCAGGCCGCCTCCTCCTCCTCCTCCTCCTCCTCCTCCTCCTCCTCCTCCTCCTCGCGCGTCCTCGCACTCCTCGGACGCTGATGCTGATGATGAGGAGGAGGAGGAAGTATCTTTCCACACGGCCTGTAGCGCCCTCCCGCTGGAGGGCGCGAGCTCTGCGGCGCGTCTCGCCGCTGAACCCCCCCCCGCCTGGTGCGCTGCAGAGCCGGGGGGGGGCGGAGGCCCCCTCGCGGCGAGGCGGGGGCCGAGCGTGCGCCGACCGCGAGGCGGCAAGCGCCAGCCGAGCAAACTCGGCGGGAGGCCCCACCCACCGCTTTATTACGGCGTGGGTGGGCGGGACCTCCAAAAAGGATGCTGGGGCCGCTCCTAGAGCGGCGACGGGGGGTGAGCACATGCAGGAGAGGGAGGCTACAAATAACAAGGAAACCCGCTGTTCTCTCGAACGTCTACGTTTCCTCTCCTCTCTCCGCCTCCGAAACACGGGCGGATCGGGCGCGGCTGGGCCCGGTTGGGCCCGCGTCCCTCAGGCCTCCTCCTCCTCCTCCTCCTCCTCCTCACGCGTCCCCGCACTCCTCGGACGCTGATGCTGACGATGAGAAGGAGGAGGTATCTTTCCACGCGGAATGTGGCGCCCTCCCGCTGGAGGGTGCGAGCTCTGCGGCGCGTCTCGCCGCTGGACCCCGTCTGTGCCCCCGACGCCACGCGCGCCCCGAGCCACGGGGCCCACCTCGAGGGCCCCTGCCCGGACTGGAGGGGGGCCCTGGCCCCCACTGCCCAGCACTCTTGGTACCTCCTCCGCGCGTTCTTTGGCTGCCGCACTGCCAGCCATCGAGGCCCCCCTGCGCCTCAGCCTCGGACATCTCGGTCTCGGCTGCCATGCGCTTGAGCCCCAGGCCGACGCGGCCGCCTCGCGCGCTTCTCGTAACATGGTCTGGTCCGCGGCCGCCACGCTGCTAGCTACGCCCTGCGCCGTGTCCCTCGCCTCCCACGAGTAGCCTTGGAAGGCGTCGCTGTTCCGCCGCCCCCAGCGCTGCACCAGCGCCGTGTCCTTGAATGCTGCGTAAAGCGCTGACGCACCCCCGATCCTCAGGCTGTGGGAGCCTAGGTCATTCGGGTCGACCCCCTCCGCCACGGCTGACTGCGTCACCGCTCGTTGGACGTCGACCCTCGCGACGGGCCGCATGTCGTCGTAGGCGAAGAGCGGGTCATGCGACCGCGCCCCGGAGAACCTCTCGCGCGCCCACCCCTCGTAGATCGTCAGCGCCTCCACCGCGCAGATGTGCTCATCGTCCGCCGTGCCTGCTGCTGCTTCGACATTGATATGGTTGCGCCATTCTCCTCGATTGTACTGGTCCGTCTTGCTGGCACGTATCTTGATGACAACTTCGTTTGCGTCGGGCCAGCTCCTCGTCGGTTCGCCTGCTGCCTTCGGCGTGGCGTCCACGCCCCTTAGGCCCTTGTCACTGGTGTAACCATTCTGGTCGCCCGACACGTACTCGCTGGCCCTCAGCAAGAAGAAGTAGCCCGTGGCGACCGCAGCCCACAGGGCTGCGCCCTCGCGTGACCTCTCCGGCTGCACCTTCCTCGGGATCCACCTCATCATCCTGGGCGTGACTGGCTTCTTCCGCTTGGCGTCGCCGTCGCGCCTCCTCAGCCCGTCGATCGCCGTCCAGAGCCTGCCCGCGCCCGCCGCGAGATCGCCCGGGCCGAGGGCAAGGTGCCGGGCCCAGACGGCGCTCAGGCACTGCTTGATGGTGCCCGCTTACTTTCTTGTATCCTCGTCTCGACAGGTGCACGACGAACTCCAGCATCAGCTCCTCCTCGTCCCTTCGGTTCGTTGGCGTAACCTCCCGGAGTGCGCCGCTGCAGGGACCACCACCTCCAGCCTAGGCTATTGGACTTGATGGTGGAGCTGGCCAGCCTGCCCAGGATGAGCTCCAACTTGGCTTTCTCCCAGTCCTCGCGCGTCTTGAGGTCCGTCAGCGTCAGATCGCCCTGCCTAGCTCTCTCACTGACCGCTTCGGGCCCCAGCAGGTTGGGTGGCCTGTTCTCAACCGGGTCCACGCTCTTGCCCTTGCGCTCCTTCTTCCAATGGACGTTGGCGCCCACCTTCCAGTCCTCGGCCTCTCCAGAGCACCGCGCCGCCAGAGCCCAGTCGAGCCACCCGCCCCTCCGGTCGGGGTACCCCCACGTCCAGACCCTCGCGTCCAGCTGCTTCCGGGCTTCATCCTGCTCTAGGCATCCGCTCCTGCGGCTGTCCTCCTCGCGCCTGACGCGTCTCCCGCTGCCGTCGGAACCCTGGCCTCGCTCGGTTCCTCGTGCGATGGATCTAAGTGAAGCCTGAGTCCCTCCGGGCTCTGGCCGGCGCCGCCTGTGCCTCGGGTATCCCGGAGGTACCAGGCCACCGCCACAGGGTCGATGCCTTCCAAATCTGGCTCACTCTGGCGCCTCTCTCGAGGGCGACGGCCGCCGCGGCTGGCTGCGGAGCTCGACGGCCCTCCTGGGCCCCGGCATGGGGAGAGGTTCCCTCTCCGCAGGGGCGGCCCCCCGCCCCCCGGTGGGCTGTGGCGGGGCGGAGCTGGCCTCCTTCCTAGCCTCGGCGCTGCATCTGCCCCTCTCCGAAGACCTCGACCTCCGCGGCTCCGCCTCACGTACGCTGGTTCCGCGCCTGGGTCCGCGCGGCGCCGCTGCTGCTGCTGCTGCTGCTGCTGCGCCGTCTTCGCCCCGTCTAGTGACCCGCCCCACTGGGTCCCTGTACATGCGGCCCAGCTCGGCTCGGCCCAGGCGCTTGATGTCTCCGTCCTCCGACTGCGGTTCCTCCTTGACCTCCTGTGGCAGCATCCTCGCCCACGGGCGAACGTGCGGCCCCTCCGACACCGCGCGCCCTTTGTTCTTGCGGGCTGCCCTCCTGGTTGCCCCTGCCTCCGCTTTCGCCAGGCCCGCGTCGGCACGCTTCCTCCTTCTCCTCTATGTGGGGGACGGCGGCGGGCACTCGGTCGAAGGCCTCCCGCTGCCCGACGAGCCCCCACGGTCCGCTCCGCCCTGCTGGGAGGCGGCTCCGCTCTAGCCGATGCTGCCAGACGGAGGACCGAACACGGGCGCCCTCGGCGGCGCCCTGCTGCTTCTTATTATTATTATTATTATTCTTGCCCCGTCTGCCTCCGCTCTCCCCAGGAGGCCGGTCGCCCATGTCCTGGCCATGGGGGATCTTCTCACAGCGCTTGTAATGGTTGATCCCTCCATCCGCCCAGCCCTCACCCAGGCACTTGTCGCAGCAGTAGCCGGCTTCCAGAGCTGCTTCGGATCACTGTGCGCGGCGTAGGGGCAGCCCGGGCGGAGGCATGGCGTGGGCCCCCCTTTTCCTGCGCTCGCGCCCGACGAGGCTGCCTCGGCTGCGGGCCGCCGCCGCGGGCCCGGGCGCCTGGGCCGCTCGGGGCGTGGGGGCTGACCTGCCTTCCGCCGTCCACCTGCCCCAACTCTCGTCGTCCTCGACGGCCCCTGCCCGTCTCCCAGGTTCGCCCCCCTCGGAGCGGGGCTCCGCTGGGCCTGCCCGGGCGCCGTGATCCTCCTCGCTCTGCGCACGGGCGGGCTCGGCGGCGCGCGCGCCCCCCCTTGAATCGCACACTGGGCCGCGATTCCGCCCGTGCGTGCACCAGCATGTCCGGCAGCAGTAGACGACCTGGAAGCCAGGTCTGGCAGAAGTCGCCTGCATCCCTCTTGGTGGCACCGGCCCGCCTCCCCAGGGTTGACCCTCCTGCGCTGCGCCAGGGTCTCATGCTCCTCCTCCTCGTAGCGGGGCTGCCCAGGCTGTTGGGAGTCGACGAAGTCCCGATCCTCGCCGTCCGACCCCATGTCGAAGTAGGCCACGTTCGCGAAGCCTCGCCGTCCTTCGTCAATGCTCGCGGTAGCACC